TTCTGAACAAAGTGCAAATGCTTGAAACTATCAGCAGAAGACAGAGGTGCCGAGCAGCAGCAAACCTTAGTCGTTTTCCAACTGACACACACACACACACACACAGACACACACACACACACACACACACACACACGCCCTTGTTCAGGGCTGTCCTTGCCTTTGCGGTTTTTCTGTGGTCCTCTGCACACTGCAAAACTATTTAATTTTGTTTGTTTGTTATAATGCGGTTCGGGCAGTTACTAGGTATTTTGTTTTTAAGCTGGCTTTAAACAGAAAAGAAAAGAAAAAGGGAAATCTGCGAAGAACTCCCACTTTGATTAATTTCCCAGGGCTCTGCAGCCCCTCCCCCGCCCCGCAGCCTCTCCTACTCGGCTCCCATTGGCGCGCTCCGCCCGGTTCCTGCGAGCGTATCTATCAGGACACAGGCATTAATTCTCTCCTGCAGACCTGCGTCAGTGTGCGCAGGAAAAGAGAAAAAAAGAGAAAAGAGAAAGGGGGGAGGGCGGTGGTGGAGATGCTCAAAACCAGCAAAGACCGGTTAGGAAGAGGAAAAAAAAAAAAGAGGAAAAAGAAAAAAAAAAAACTCTGGGGGGCTCTGAACGATGCTTCTTGAGAGAGGCTGACAACAGCTCTCACAGCTTTGAGCCCTTGGCAAGAAGGCCCAGCAAAGAGGGGCGGGATTCTAGAAGCATTGAAAGAGAAGGGGGGGTGGGGGAAAGTCGCTGCCTCCTTTATACCTTAAGCACCTTGATGGGCCGATTTTCAAAAGAAGAACCGATGATCACTTTGCTCACTAAACCAGGGTGCTCAGCCACGAGGTTATCCATTTCTTGGTAAATCTGAAATGTTTTAAGTGAATAAACAAGGCGTTAGGAAGTGAACAGCGAATGCAGCTTATTAGGGACTTCCTCTCCCCTCCACTCGGGTTCCTCCAGACCCCAGGCGGTGAGGACGGACGGGAGGGTCGAGGACTGCTGGCTGCCAGCGGGAGGACGATGAGTCACTGTGGAAGGGAGAAGCCATCTTGCCGCAACAGAGCCGGTTCTTTCCAGTTCTGTGCAAAGTGAAATGGCACTTGTCTAGTTTGCCTGTGGTGGGTTTTTGTTGTACTGCCCCCTCCCCCCAAACCCTGTCCAGCACAGGGAGAAATGCAAATCGTATTGGATGCAGAAGCGGAATGTGGCCGGCTGGGCGAGTGTAGGCCCGGGGACAATGGGACCCCCGTCGAGCACCATCCAGCCACTGGCTACTGGGACCCCAGTTTTCACGGAGATGCTGTCTGTGCCTTCTCCACGCACCAGGCTGCATCCATTGCTGGGACTGAGACCTGAGCACGGGCTGCGGGAATTGAAAACAGCCTCCAGCTGTTGCCAGCCATTTGCTGTCACAAACACCTGTTTGTGTTTCTGGCAAGGGGAGAGAGCACACTTTAATTATTTCATTCTGCTCGCCAAACTTAGGATACTTTTTTCTTGAGGGGGAGAATTTTAGGAAGGCAGAAAGTGAGCTATTCGTGGGTTCACTTAAGACATTCTGTATTACACGGGTGATGTTGCTCCGCGTTCAATTGCATTGATAGTTTTGGCAGTGAAACAAATAGGCTAGTTTAGTCCAGTCATATTTTGCTCCCAAATAAGTTTAAATTGGAGTAGCTTTTACCAGTAAATAAATTATGGCAAGAAAAAAAAAACAAACTTTTGCTCCTCTTGTATGCATTTTTAAATTGCTAATTTGGAGACTTAGTGCCCCTCTTATGCTTATGCTGTACTGAACCCCCAACTGCCACCCCACCCTCCAATCTCAAGTCAGTTCCGATAGATAGCCCTCTATGGATCACCCCCCCTCCCAAGACTGTGTCACATTGGTAAATGCAGTGCTGTCTAGGTACCCACAGTAAAATCAGAAAAGGCAGCAGAGACTAAACTCTGTGACTGTATGGCCTTGGATCCATGTACAGGTTGGGAAATTCCTGCTCCCAACCTTGCCTGTAAGTCAGCCGGTTCAGTGGCCCCTGATACATGGAAGATCACGTGAAGCCTAGCTCTCCAGCAGCTCGGTAGTGGGTGCAGGTTAGAAATCAGCAAGGGGGTGTTGTGGGAAGAGTGTGAGAGTGCTATTTATGGGCTCACTTAAGACATTCTGGACACTTCTAAAATAACTGTGTGATTGATGGGATGGACAAGTGGACTTTCAGTTTCTGCATTAAACCAGTGACACAGGGAACCTTGGAGAAGCTAGGAAATAATAGGAGGATCATTTCTAGGTTATTAAATCATAACATGGAAGTGGTAACCTTGTCCTCAGAGAGGAGACTAGCTCATTTCTCTGCTGTTTCTTTTGAAATGCCTACCTCTTCCAAGGTATGGTAGGCCCCAAAGTTGAAGTTAGCACTGCGTTCCCTTTGCTGATTGAGCATTTCTTCATTTTCTTGGTCCAACAGAACCTAAGATAAGTCAATTCTATGATTAGTTGCCTGCAATGCATTCAGTCCCGTGTTGGGAAGAAAGTCCCCAGTACCAAGCTTCCATCATCATGTGTCCAGTCCATAGTCTCTGGGTCAGACATGTCCTTTTTTCTGGTAGTACTCTGTAAAGGGATGGGGCTGATGGCCAGGCAGCCTCTGCAGGCAGAGGATGACAGTACTACTTAGAGGGCCTTTGGGCTGTCTTGCAGCTCAGCCTGCCTGTCTGAGTTAACCTCTAATTAAAAACTAATTGAATAGCAGCTTGCTTTCCTTAGCCTAACTAACACCCTTCAGTTTATGTTCTGCATTCCATGGCATCACCTCTCTTTTACCCTTTCCCTTCCATTCTTCCTTACCACATTCCACTTGTTCAAAATGCAAAAAGAAAAAGGGGTGATGCCTCCCCACCACCCTGCAAGAGTAGCCCACACTGCTGGAAGACCAAAGTGAGACCTACAGACCCCTTCCCTGGCAGAGTACTGGAGAACCAGCAGGCCTCCGGAGAGTTGCTCTATGGCACACTTACTTGAACATCTTCAATCATGATGGAGTAAGCAATCCCCTGGGACTCCAAGAAAACTTTGACTGCCTGGATGTTCACAAAGGGAACACGGATATGGGCTACCTCCCCTGGGAAGGTGGGTGGTTTCCAAAAATCAAGCTGAAAGGAATAAAAGGCCAAACAAGGCTATGCTGGATTGTGCTAAGAGAAATGGATCATTTGTCAGTGTTGGATTTCAGTAAGTCAATTTGTGTACCTCGCTTATTTGGGGCCTACAAAAGTAGAATCACTGTGGAGTCACTAAGGTATAGCAACAAGAGTTTCTTCTATATCCAAGCATCAGCAAATATGTTACATTGTTGCCAGCCCCCCCCGCCCCCCCATGGCTAGATATTAAAACTGGCAAAGGAACAGATGATTTTAAATTATAGGAGGTTTTTTCCTAAAAGAAAATCTGGCACTCAAGTGGGCCACTTCTTTTCATCATAGGATATTAATGCCATAAATTATTTTAGAAGGGAAATAATGTATTAAAGGTGTCCAATGGTGTTTCAAAGGAACTTTCATACTTGACATCTCTCCACTCTTGCCATATTCTTGTGACTTATCTAGAAGAATGGTATATTTATATTCAATTTTCTGAGTGTGAAAATGTGTAACAGAGAAGGTAGGGGACTTATCCAGTGTCATATAGTTGCAACTGGAGTCCGTGAGTTAGTGTCCCATGCTGTCTCAAAGGAGTCAAAATATAGTTCAAAATAGGTGTCATCCATGCTATCTGATTGTATTTACTCTCGGAAGAAATAGCCCATCCTACAACAAATACCTGAAGATGTTCTTCGGCCTCCAGTTGCACCAGATTTTTAATTTGTTCTTCATTTCTTGGGATGATCTCAAGAACTTGGTCTCTAAAAAGATGTTAACCACAGACATGACTTTAAAAGCAAAACCTGTACCCTATTTCCTCTTGCTTTCTGTTCCTGTCAGCATGTAAGAGATGAATGCAACAGTCAATAATCTCTTTTCACAACCCAGAAACTAATAAATAGTATACTGACCCACATCCCCAGAATGAGGTGATCAAATGGCTTTATATCCTCCAAGGAAATGTTATCTAAATAATAATTAAGAGGTATACCTGCTCCTAGCAGGAAGCTTGCCATTAAAGTTACCTTTCCTTGAGCTAATGAGTATTTGTCAAATAACACCTGCTGCTCATAAAGCTTTGGCTTTTAAAACTTGTCCCTGTTTTTCAAGGGAGAAAAAGTGAAATAATTGATTTAGTGCTCATAAGAGGAATCAGATTTACATCTGGGGAGACTGGAGTTTTCTCAGTTTAGTTTTTTTGGTTGTTCTTGTTTGTTTTGATTTTACAACTGAAAATAGATTAGGGTATTATCTCCAGATTCCATGATGTGGGCAAACTTGGGGCATGTCTAGAGAAAATTGGGGCCCAAGCAAATAATGTATAAACACACACGTGCGCGCGCGCGCGCACACACACACACACACACACACACACACACACACACACAAATGGAGAATAAAGGACATGAAGAATACCATGGCAGAAAGGAGAAATCCCAAATGAACAAACAAAAAAGTTTGGGTAGAGGTGCCAGATTCTTATAGCCCTTTGTTTAGTAATAGAGCCTTTTCCTCCCCTGTCTCTTTCTCCAAGCAGGCTGATTTCCTGTTCCCTGGTACAGCAGGGAAGGAATGAACGCATGAGTCATAATGGGGTCAGAGACCAGAATCCAGTCCTTCTGGTACCCAGCGCCACACAATTTCCACTACACTCTAGTGGAATACACAAGTGGCAGAACTCGAGCTCTTCCAGACCCTTCTGCCTCCAAGTAGCCATCTGCCACAAATGGTCTGAAAATTCCTCCATTTGGGTCTCATTACTTTTAGTTAATGCATAGACTCCCAGGGGTCTTCCTTTAAAATGAGGTGCTGGGAAAAGTAATACATTAGACTAATATTTCCTGGTGTGTGTTCTAAGGAGCAGCAGGCCCCTGGAGTTGATCAGCTAAAGGGGATGGTTGTGAATTGAAAAAAAAAAAAAAAGAAAAATAGAGAGTTTTATGCTTCCAAGTAAATCCCTCATAGATTCCTAGCTTCTTAATGCATACGTTAGTCAACATCCTAGAAATTCTGTAGTTCATGTAGTTCATTTAACTCTCTGATTCCAAGATTTATTTAACTACCTACTTTTATGGAGCAAATTGATTAGACTGCTTTATTAGTTCCCTGGAACACTCTCCAAAAATGCCTTTTTTAGAACTATGGGACCAGGCTGGGTAGGGTGATTCACACCTGAAAGCCCAGCACTTGGAAGGCTAAGGCAGAAGGAATGCCACAAGTTAACGGTCCATCTAAGCTATGAGTTTCAGGGCCACCAGGGTTATAGAATGAGAGCCTGTCTCAAAAGTAAACAACAAGGAAAAAACATATGTGTAAACATACCCTTACACAGTACCTTGCACATAATGGAGCTAAAGCACTTCACAGCAAAGATGAATCCTAAAGCCATGAGAGGAGTTGACTGAAGTCTACAGCCCTGGCCTTCCCACTTCCTGAGGTTCCAATATCCAAACACTAAATCTGAAGACATGGGGACAACGGCTGACAGGGAGGATAAATCCCAGAGAGATGGGAAGAAGGTGGAAGAGAGGCCTTGACATCTTCTGTGATACCTGAAGCAAGTAGCGAAACAACCGTGTGCTTCCCTGATGCCTACCATCCCCACATTCTGACCACTGGAGCGGAAAATGAGCAAGGACAGTCCTGTGAAAATTCACTTTACAAAATGGAGTCGTTCCTGTCATACACTATCAAAATGTTGTCAAGAACTTTTAGAAAGAAAGGGAAACATGTTTGGTCTTGAACTCATGCCCCAGAAAGTATCTCACAGAACCAACACAACAAAACAGCCTGCCCTCTGTCTAAGGCTATTTTTACTGCCGGGTGTGGTGGTGCACGCTTTTAATCCCAGCACTCAGGAGGCAGAGGCAGGCAGATCTCTGTAAGTTCAAGTTCAAGGCCAGTCTGGTCTACAAAGTGAGTTCCAGAACAGGTGGGCAGGGAAACCCTGTTTCAAAAAGACCAAAAAAAAAAAGACTATTTTTACTTTGCAAATGTTGAAGGACCTTCCAGCCATCACCTTCAGCATACCCTTGCACAGTAACTGCCCGCACTCTCCAGCTCCCAATCACAGCCAAAGACACGGCCATTCAAAATCACTTGCACATAGTTCTCTGTTCTAGCAAAATCTCTAACCTGTTCTCTGTTCTCTGGACATACCAGCGGCCACCACAGCCTGAGAGTGACTCAAATTGAAGTCCTAGTTTGCATTCCCAAATAAAAGATTCATCTCTATGTTTTTGACTTTTGACAGTTTTTACTTGTCTTCTCCTTCTGATACCATTCATCTCTTTTTTGATCACTTCCTATTTTTTTCCCACTATTCCCCCCAATCTAAGAGAACTCTTGAAAACACTGAACATATTATACCCATTATTCTACGACCACATTATAATCAAAGACTAAGTTATAATCAAATGAGAATCTCCATGAATCAGGTAAGTAGAATTCAAACAAGCACCAGAAAGCATCACTTACCCCACAAATGTTTCTCGACAGTAGATATGCCCAAATAGGGCACCAAATAACAGGATCAACCTCATGGTCAAGGCTTTTCCCAGAGTCCAGAATTTCGCAGTCCTTCCTGAACTTTATAGGGAGCACAGCTGAGGGCGATCAATGGGCCCTCTGAGAATTCAAGTGAATTCCCACATGGTGAAATTCTCACCTGCTTGTGAAATTCTCAAGGTTGCAAATACCCACCAGTGTGTTATTACCAATCTGTATATTTTCCATTCTTAGAATGAGATAACAAACTTCAATGGAAAGAAAACAAAATTGTCAGAGCATAGCAAGGGCAAATCAGGCATTTATGATTTAGAACATAAAATGCCACTAGCTCTGCTCGGTGATAGAAGCCAGATTAATAGACCTAGAGGTTAGAGTCCTTTCTGGGTCTCTGACAAAAAAAAAGGCAAAGCATTTATAGTAATTACTCGGCATCCTGTCTATCACATTCTATTAGTTTGTTCATTCGTTTATTTTTATAGTGTTTACCCTGAAATGCTGCAGTTACTCAGTCCACATCTGTGAAAGGTCCCTGTAGATGTGGCCCATTCCAACCCTCACTCTATATTAAATAAACGAGACAGAATGCCTTGTAATATTTAATTTTACACCGTCTCTAAAGTGATCCATCTGCATTTTTACCTAATTAATATCCCTATTTCTATGCTTTAAGAAAATGTCTTTCTGACTAAAACAGTGAAGTTGTTTGTTTTAGAAAGTTTGCATTTAAAGAAAGTGTTTTACTTAACGACCAGTAATTCCTCCACTCAAAAAAACCCATTTGGTGTCTATTTCTCTGAATCTCTTCAGCCATTTACAGGTTTTCTTTTTCTTTTCTTCCTTTCCCTCCCTCCCTCCCTCCCTCCCTCCCTTTCTTCCTTCCTTAGTCTGTTTGCTCTGCTTTTAACCCAGGTTATCCTGGAACCAGTTCTGTAACTGAGGCTGGCCTTGAACTCCTGATCCTCCTGCTTCCACCTCCCAACTTCTAGAATTACAGGCCTGTGGCTCCATGCCCGGCTTAGTTTTTTTGTGAAGCAAAAATTAGACCATATTGAATACACTATTTTTCAAAAAAGAGTTTTTTAGATGAAAGAAAAATTTTCTTGTCCATATGCATAGCTCTACAATAATCTGACTTTGTTCTTCAGTACTTATGAAGAAAATACCTATTTTCTTTGAGAAATGGTACTCTTGCATCACAGTCATCCGTACATGCTATGTTCAGCCTCGCGAGACAAGCTCAAACAGCTGCAGAGAAATTTTCAGCTTTCCCTTGTGTATCAAATTTTTCATCTGCACACACTTTAAACCCTAGATTTTAATTCTCAAGTTACTACTAGAAGAGAAAAGGTACACATATTATATTTCTAGTTGAAGAAATTACTAGATTGGTTTGGGTTTTCTTTCTTTTTTTTGTTTGGAGGGGGTTAAGTTGGTGAATTAGTTTGGTTTGGTGTGTGTGTGTGTGTGTTTGTGTGTGTGTCTGTGTGTGTGTCTGTGTCTGTGTGTGTATGTTCATTTTGTTTGGTTCTGTTTTGTTTTTGAGAAAAGGTCTCAAATAGCCCCAGGCTGGCCACAAAACCCCTACAAGCAGAGGATGACCTTGAACTTCTGATCCTCCTGCCTCCACTTTCTGAGTGCTGGGATTACAGAAATATATCACCACCTCAGGTTTATACAGTATTGAAGATCAAACCCAGGCCTTTGTACATGGTAGGCAAGCACTCTACCAACTAAGCTACATCCCTGGCCTCTGTTTTTTTCTTTCTCTTAAGAGTCAGAGAGAAGACAAACCCAAGAAACAGAGATGATAATTCATCCTCTTGTCTCCAGCAACCATCAAATAAACAGCCTGGTGGAGGAAAGGGAATGCACTTGAAGCATCAATCAAAGCTTCCTGGGAAAGATGACCTTCAAGCAGAGTCTTAGAACAGGGAGGATGTGAGAGAGTTGAGAGGGTCTGAACCACTGACAGTAGGCAAGCACAAATAAGTGCAAAACTGGGAACGCACACACAAGCCTCTGAGTTTAGGAGGAAACTTGGCCCTCCTGGTGAAAAGACTAGGTTCTGGGAGTGGTGGGGCATGCCTTTAATCCCAGCAGAGGCAGCGGCGGCAGATCTCTGTGGAACCCTGTCTCACAATAAAGAATGATAGACCTTGAAACATTCATATCATCTCAGAGACCCTCTGAGCAGGAGGCCAAGAAGGAGCCTCCTGGAGAGAGCCAGACTGAGAATGCTGGGTAGGGGTGGGGGGTGCAGGGTGTGAGTGGGGGGACTGTGCCATGTATTCAGAGAAGAATTTAGTGGAGTGTGTGATAACTGGTACCCCTTACAACTGATCGGTATGGGAGTTAGAGAATGGGTGTTTCTAGAGAGTGTCAAGAAGAGACCGATAACCCCCTTCCTGGCTGGGCTGACACCTAACATCCCCACCACATCACCCTGTGTGAGGCTCTTCTGTAAGAGTTTAATTTGATTACTTTCCTACTGGTATGGTTTACAAGAGAGATTTTTGCTGAGAAGTACTACCCAATGAATTCAACCTACTATATGTGGTAGGAGCACAGAAACTCTCTTTTCTTCCTCAAAAGGACAATAGAGGTAGGTATAGCTGCAGTAGATGCCTAAATCCAAAGGGGAGAGTACTCGAGGGTAATGTGTGAATGAAGCAAATGAATATTTGCTCAATAGACAAAAATAATTTAAAAAAAAAAAAAAAAAAAAAAGCCACCAGAAGCTGGAGAGATGGCTCAGCAAGTTAAAGCACTTGCTACAAGCCTGGTGACCTGAGTTGAAACCCCATAAAGGTGGAAGAACCAATTCCACAAAGCTGCCTTCTGACCTTGACATGCTCTCTCTCTCTCTCTCCCTCTCTTCTCTCTTTTCTCTTCTCTCTTCTCTCTCACACACATACCAATAACAATAAATAAAATTTACAAAATAAATGTCTCAAAATAAATACATAAACAAAAAGGGTCTAGTGTAGTGGACCTTACCTTTAATCCCAGCACTCCGGAGGCAGGACAGGTAGAATTCTGTGAGTTCAAGGTCAACCTGGTCTACATAGTGAGTTCCAGGTTAGCTGGGGCTACAGGGAGACACTGTCTTAAAAAGGCCAAAAAAGATAAGATGATCGATAGACAGCTGATAAATAATAAAGAGCTGAGCGCGGTGGCACACAGCTGTAATCCAACACTTAGGAGACTGACACAGGAGGATCTCGAGTTGAAGGCTAGCCTAGACTATATAACAAAACTATGAAGAGAAAGAATGGAAAGAAAAGGAAAGGAAAGGGCAGAAAAGAAAGAAGGAGGAGGGAGGGAGAAGAGGGAATGGAGGGAGAGAGAGAAGCAATTAATAATAAACTAAGGAAGCTGGAGGAGGAGTAAGCCAGGAAATTGTAAGCCTTTGTTTCTGTTTCTGACACTGTAAAGGATCCATAGCATGACAGAGCATTGTGTTTTCCAAACCTTCTCATCATTCTAGAAACAGGGTAACATATACTAAACTGCAAGTATTTTAAATATGCAATTTGATAAATTTTGACATAGGTATATACCCATAATGAACCCATCACCACAATCGGTGTCACATATCACATATCCATCATCCCCAATAAAATCTGTTTTTGAGAGTGGCTTAGAAAATCTCCAGCCAGAAAGAAATCATTGAGACCCCTGTGCTTTGGGGGATGAGGAAATGAGGCCCCCAGAGAGGAAAGTGCCTACACAAAGCCCCACGGCTGTTCTGACGTAGAACAGACACTAGGCACTCTGACCTCAGGCCTTGGTCCCCAACCTTGACACTCCACAGTACCCAATTAGCACAGGTAATTCTACTCGGCTCTAGGAAAAGGCCATTTTTGACCAAATGTTTCTTTGCCCATCCCTGGGGAAGCTGTAATTTAAAAAGAGAAAGATGATAGCTCTCTTTGGGAAAGGGCTCTAATAGCACATTGCTCCGTTCAGGGATGATGCTGGGCACCGTGCTCAGGCTTTTGCCCTTTAACCTCAGAAGTTGAAATAGCCTAACTACAAGGAGAGAGGGATAATCTCTAGAGCCAGAGGAGACCAATCCCAAATTAAATCCCTCAGAACAGCTTCCAGAGTCCAGAGTTCCTCCACATCAAAACTCCTGACCCGACGTCTTTATCTGGAGAAACATGTTTATTTGGACCAAATGAGTTCTACAGCACAGTTAATGAACTATTAACAATATTTCAGAACTTTGTGAATTAAATACACATTGGTGCTTTGACTGAGAAATGCACAAAATTATGGTTTCTGAGAAGAGGAAACACGTTCCAGATTTCAATCAACCAAATGTTTTAAACAAAAATGTCCTTCCCAGTTGATTGATTTTCTGTTGCACCTTAGACACTATTAAACCCTTAAGGAATTTCTTTGTTCTCATGAGATGTTGGTGTCAGGGGAAGTTGGGCAAAGGAACATTGAGGATCTCTCTGCTATCTTGGCAACTTTTCTGAAAATGTAAAGTTATTCTGAAAATGGTTCTAATGTTATTTTTTGAAGTAAAATTTTGTTGAGCATAGTGAAGTGTATATAATCCCAACACTTGGGGAAGCTAAGGCAGGAGGATTAGGAGTCCAAACCCAGCCTGATCTACATGAGACCTTGCCTCAAAACAGAAAAGCAAAACCCAAAATGTACAATGGCAAAAATGGACAGAGAGGGGCTGGAGAGATGGCTCAGCGGTTAAGAACACTGGCTGTCCTTGCAGAAGACCCGGGTTCGAATCCCAGCACCCACATGGCAGCTAACAACTCCAGTTCCAGGGGATCCGACAGCCTCTTCTGCCTTCCTCAGGCATTGCATGACACGGGTGCACTTACCTACATGCAGGCAATACACACATATACACAAAATCGGGTGCGCTCACATACATGCAGGCAATACAGTCATACACATAAAATAAAAATAATAAAATATTTTAAAAAATAAATAATTTTTTTTGGTCTTTTTGAGACAGGGTCTCCCTGTAGCCCCAGCTGTCCTGGAACTCACTATGTAGACCAGG